GAGTATTCAGAACTATTAATTCTGTTTTTTTTTCATTATAACCCCTGCGTTATCTTGGTGATCAACTTTTTTTCCTAGCAATGTGGTTTCTATGTTATCTTCCCTTCTGTGCAACTGAGTTTTGTTTGTAGCTTCACTTAGGTTCTTGGGTTACATACTCAGTCTGGGGTGGCCAAACATTAATTTAGGGATGTTTTCACTGAAATTTGTGAGAAATGTATAAATATGATTTTCAGATTGTGAGAACCGTTTGTCGCATCGATTGTTTACTTCAACTACAAAAAGTAAGCTTTGCTCTAATAATAGTAAAGTACGTTAAGGGTTGGAAATTGTCACAAAAACAGTAAAGTGAAAATCACCAATCAAATAGATTTTTTTTTTTTTTTCATTTTTTGCTTAATATGAATTATCGAGATCAAACTCAATTGCGTTACAAAGTTTATGGAATCTGATAATCAAATTGGATTGACACATTCAATTTCCAACTCAATACAATTCAGTAATTTGGTTAGCCTAAATTGATTCGGAACAAAATACGTAAAACAACTCAAATCCAAACCAAACCAACTTGAAAAATAATTAAACGAAGACAAAGGTTATAACACTTTTTTTCATGCTTTCACCTTTTCAGATAAGCTACTTATAAAATAAACAATTTTTAGATTATGATAATCATCCAATTGATGAAATTTATTTTTAATTAAGGTTAATTATATATTAATTTATTTTTATTGTATAGTTAACTATATATTAATAAATTTAATTGCTAATTAAGGTAATTTTTTTTAAAATTCTACTGTAGAATACTATTTTGAATAACACAACGTAAATTCTTTTTATGGTAGAATAGTTATCAAATCAATAAAACCAATTTAATTTATGATTAATTATATAATAACAAATATAATTATTATTTAACTTTAATAAAGACTTTATAACGTAATATACATTATTTTTATATAATGATAACTATCAAATCAAGGAAATTCATTTTTAGTTTATGGTTAAATATATATTAATTCGTTTTTAGTTTATGTTTAACAAACTGAAATTATTTTTACATAATGACAATCATTAAATCAATGAAAATTATTTCTACATTATAGTTAATATAAAAACATGACAAATAAAAAAAATTATCCAAAATCATGGAGAACATGACAACTAAGTACTTTTACTTCTCAAGTAATAATATTGATTAATACATAAATTTTAAGAATGTGGAAAGATGTATAACAACAAAAGATAGACGAAGCCATTTATGATATTTTTTTGTATTGCATCAAACCAATGTGAATGAAGATTAAAATTAAAATTAGTGTAACGCATCGATTTTATTCTTTTTGGTGTAAAATAAAGCCAAGAAAAACTAATAATAAAATATTAAAGACCATCTCTGAAAATAAAACATAACCAAAACAAAGATTCCCGAAAATTATCTGAAACAAGTAATAAAATTTAAATATATATATATATATATATATATTTGTGTGAGTAGTGAGAAACTCTAGAAAATAGAAAAATATCAATGATGCAAAGGGAAAATCTGAAGTTATTTTTTTCATTTAATTATCTAAACCATAACTCATTTAGGTATTCAAAAATATAAAGATATAACCGAAATTGTGTTTTGGTTAATCAAATAAACATGATGCTAATGAATGAAAATAATTAAAAAGAGAGTATATAAGAACAATTATTTGAATTTTTTGTTTTGAGAAAAAATCACATCCACATAAAACATTTGTGAAATGATAAACTTAAATAATTAAATAAATTTATACACGTGCGACATATCCCTATATACAAAAAGTTCAATATTAACATTCACCATGCTTGATTATCCTAAACAAATTCAGTGTAAAATTTACATAGTATTCGTATACTTCATTTGAAACGTTTGAACTCAATGTAATCTCAATAAAAAATTTAAATGCAGAAACTATTGTGTACTACTATGAAAATGATACTTAATAGTGTATTTAAGTTCCTTAAACTAAATACATATTTATCACGTAAACTATAATAGGTTCATCATCAGCGTATAAGGTAAATTGTTGGGTGCTAATTTTCATGAAGAATTAAAACAAAAAAATACTAATCTCTATAATAAAAATTTTACAATATAAAAAATGTATATAATATTATAAATCAATTTATGTAAAAAATACAAATGGAAACAATTCCGCACGTAGCGCAGCCAACCACTAGTTTCCATATAAACTTCACATAAAAGTTTATCTTCTTCTTAAGAATATCAAGAAGAATGAATATACATTTTATTAGTAGTGTAGATATTTTAAAATATTTATATGGTGAAATAAATCACCAATATTTATAGATAAAAAGATCTCTTTTACATGCTACATGAATAAATTTTGCCGTTTTTCAAACATGATTTAGGTGATATGCAAAGGTCAAAACATTTTTTACTATGCCATGCAATGACAACAACATTTTGATGGTTTCCAAAATATGATTTAAATGTTATATAAAGGTCAAAAAAAATTTCTATGCCATGCAAAGGTGTAAAAGTTCGTGAATAAATATTTTTAATTTTCTAAATATGATTTTCTTAACATGCCAAAGTTAAATTTTTTAGTCAAAGTCAGATACAGTCAAAAATATTATACAATACATAGTTCCCATGCCATGAAAAGTAGTCAAAATATATTAATTAACCACTAACATAAAATTTTGAATTTTCCAAAACATAGTTTCAATACCATGAAAAATGAACCAAAATTAAATAAATATATTTTAAACATCACTAAAGATGTAAAAAACTCTATAAATACCAACAAAATAATTGTAAGCACCACAAATCCATACTCTTTTTCCTAAATATTTGTTCTCACAATAAATTACAGTTTTGAAAAAATAAGCACATCTTCTTGGTTCGTCATCCTCTTCTGATGATTGTGATGATGAAAGTATGAAGATTATTAATAGCATCGACAATGAAGAAGAAGCCATATGTCTTGTTATCTCCAACAAAAATGCAGCCATTCACTCTCTTCTCAACCAACAAGACAATTCGGTTATTCATGGTGGTTCAGTCCCGGGGGGTTCTTTCATTTACCATGATTGAGAGAGCACATATTTTCACTTATTTAATGATTATTTTTTGGAGACTCCAACCTACAACGATGATATGTTCCGCCGGAGATATCGTATGCCGTGGTCTCTATTCCTTCGTATTATTGAAGCTGTTGAAAGTTATGACAACTATTTCATACAACAGAGAGATACAATGGGTAGACTTGGATTATCTTCTCTTCAAAAAATAACGGCGGTGGAATGCTAGCATATGGTCTCTCTGCAGATGGTACATATGAGTATGTAAAAATAGGCGAATCAACGGTTATTGAAAGTATGAAAATATTTTGTTGAGCCATCGTCAATATTTTTTCGGAAAAATATCTACGGTCACCAATGTCTTGTGATATTGCTAGACTTCCTCATATTGGTGAAAAACTAGGGTTTCCCGGAAGTCTCCGTAGTTTAGATTGTATGCATTGGAAGTGGAAGAATTATCCTATCGGTTGGGTTGAAAATATGCAGACCGTAGTGGATTACCAACTATAATTCTTGAAGCTGTTGCAGATTATGATCTTTGGATATGGCATTCATATTTCAGAATGTCAGGCACTAATAATGATATCAATGTGTTAGATTCTTCTCATCTTTTTTCCAATCGTGCTCAAGGTATTTCTCATTCTACTCATTATTTTATTCAAAAGAATATTATATGGATTACTATTTAGCGGATGGTATTCATCCAAAACGGTCGACCATAGTACAAACTATTCAAGAGCCAATGAGTCAAAAAAGAAATATTTTGCAACGCAACAAGAAACATGTAGGAAAGATGTTCAACGTGCATTTGGAGTTCTACAGTCGTGTTTCACTATTTTGAAAGGACTTGTTCGTTTTTGGAAAAAAATGTGTTACATGACATCATGACTAAATGTATAATTTTACATAACATGATAATTGAGGCAGAGCGTGAACTCGATGCACCAATTGAACTTGGAAAAGAAGCTCCACCTCTAGATGTCGAAATTGCAGAAGATGAAAATGTTTGATTTTAAAATGTTCTTGCTCGGTTTAGGAGTATCAAAGATAAAAAAGTCATTTTTCATTACGAAACACATTAGTTGATCATTTGTGGGAAAAATATTCTCATGCTCATTATTGAACCAGCCTATATTGTGTTTTATTGTAATTTTTATGATTTCTTGTACTTTTTAATAACAAATGTTTAATTTAAATAAGTTAAATTTTAAGGCATTTTTATAAACATAAAATAGTTAGGGGTTTATTAGTAAACTTCTATAAATATAAGAGATTATTAACAATTATTAATAATTTTTGGAGTAAAAAATAGAATAATACATTGGAGTAAAATCTTACTTCATTTTGGAGTTGCACCATTTTAGAATAAAATATAGAGTAATACATTGGAGATGCTCTAATGAGCCTTTGGACTTGGTGATTACTTTTTAAATGCAAAAATATAATAATAAATATTACGTATAAATTAAGATAATTGATATATTACATTATAAAATTTTTTTATGTTAATCTTATTATTTCATATGTTTAACCTGTCTAGATAACAATCTAATCCTCTAATTAAAAGTTCTGATGGTGACCAAATAGTATTCTTTCGATTTCACGAGAGAAGATGGCAAATAAAATAGCTCAGTTTTACCAATAAGCAGAAAAGAGTGTACAATACCAACAATAGCAATACTTCAATGACTTTTCTGTTAATAAGAAATTACTAATTTAAGGAGACAGATCCATTTTTACAGCCGATGTAACCGTTTGGTGCGTCTTAACTCCATTCTTTCATTTCCTTTTCCTGTTGAAGGATCATCCTAAACCCAGAAAAGCTCACCGTTTAAACAATCTTATTCTGATTCTCATCATTTCTTCAAACGATCAATATAAAATTCAATAAACAAACTCCCGAGGAAAGAGGATCTCTAAGAATGTTGAATCTAGCAACCTTAGGGAAGGTCACTACAACCATCATGTTGTTGAAGGCCATGGCTAATGTTTTGGTTGGAGTTTCGGACAACAACGTGGTGTACAGTCCATGTTCAGACACTCAAATAAGCAAAGGGGATGGTTTCACCATAGGTGTTGCAATCTCAAGCAAAGAAGCTTTCTTCTTTAACCAAGTCCAGCTTTCCCCTTGTGATTCTCGTCTTGGTTTAGCTGCGAAAATGGCACAGCTGGCGCTTTTTAGACCTAAGGTGGACGAGATCTCTCTTCTCTCCATCGACACAAGTAAGTTTAACCCGGTAAGTACCTCAATGGCTATATGATGACGTAATCTCAATGAGGCACAACCACAAAAAAAAAAACTAAAGAATTATTGTGGATGTTGTTGTTGTCTTCTTGTGAAAAGAGTGAAGCAGGAGGACACATGATTGGGTTCGCAGGCTCGAAGTTCGCAGCAAGATCTTATCCTGTGAAGGTCGCTGATGGAAACCACACAATCACATCTTTCACACTTGTAATGATTAAACCTTAAACTATTTTCAAAAAGAACAACATAACTAGGGCTGGGAATTCGGGTCCCAATCGGGTTTCACTTCGGGTCCATTCGGGTTTCGGGTTTCGGGTTTTTGGATTTAAAAATTTCAGCCCCATTAGGATGTTATAAAAATTTGAATCGGATTCGGTTTGGGTTATCTCGGGTTTGGTTTGGATTTAGTAACATATCCAAGATCCAATTGAGCCCGAAATAGTTTTGGTTTCGAATATTAATCGGGTTATCGGTTCTAAAAATATTAATTTATACTCGATTAAACTCAATATATCTTCAATAGTTTTAATATTTTTTGTATTTAGCTTCTTCAAACTATATTATTTTCCTTCAAAGTAATATTGTGAAACTCATCTATTAACCATATAAGATTTGTCTTTGAACTATACGTGACAACACTAAACATATCATATGATTAATGACAAACCAAAGTCTTTTATGAACGAAAATCATACATAACTAAAGATAAAAATTAAAGTTAACAACTAAGGGCCTGACTTGTTACAATGCAGCGATTGCGGTTGCGGTTGCGGGCACTTGCGGATGCGGGAGATTGCGGTTTTAAGCGTTAGTAAGAGATTTATACAACTGGTTCAACGGTTAAAAATTGTTGCGTTTGCGGGATGCTTATGACTGGTTTATCATCACATACAACGGTGGTTAAGTAATAAATTAACAATATTTATATATTATATAATTTATCAAAATATTAAAATCATATTTTCATGATTAATATAAAATATTTATTGAAAAAACTGCATTATTAAATTTTTCAAAAATTAAAGAAAATATTTTTTTGGAAATTTTATAATATAAATATTTCAGTATTTCAGTTATTTAAATTTAAAATTTTAATTGGATATTTTATTTTTATATTTATGTAGCTTTTGGCAAAAAAAAAATTTATCCTCTCGCAATCGCCCGCAACCGCAAACGCTAGCTGTAACCAACTTTTGAATTTTAGAGATTCAGAACGATTTGAAGCGGTTTATAGCGTTTTCTGTGATTGTTGCAAAACGCCAACAATTACCAACCGCAAAAGCTGCGTTTGCGGGTGATGACGAGAGAACCAGTCAGGCCCTAAGAATAAAACGTAAGAAATACTATTTAAACTTAAAAACAACAACACTGTTTAAACTTCAAAACAAATTTATTTGTACTGTACTCAAATGTGATGTCAAACATCAACATTAATATCAACCAAAAAAAGCTATATATTAGACTAAGAATTTGAGTTAATTATTCATATAATAAATAATTATTGTAGGAATTCAATAATATCTTGAAGTGTTTTAGAAACAGTATTAGAATTTGAGATTGAATATGGTACATTTTTTTAAAAAAAATTAAAGTTTCGGATTCTTTCGGATTAAGTTCAATTCGGTTCGGATAGAACCCATAACCCAAGATGCCGTAAAACAAGATCCATTCGGTATTTATGTGGGGTTCGGATCGGTTCGGGTTCTTTTTTATCAGGCCGGGTTTGGTTTGGATTTTCGGGTTCGGTTTTTTGAATCGCTGAACATGAAAGTGTACTGGCAGGTGTTGGAGTTTCAGAAGGGAGTGTTACAGAATCTTTTCTGGAACAACTTCGGATGCGACTCGTGCAAAGGAGGATCTTCTTCCGTGTGTCTAAATGGGACGGATTGTGCAGTGCCAACATCAAAATGCAAGGCTAATGGAGGTGGAGCTAATTGCAAAATCGGAATCCAGGTGGCATTTTCAGGGACAGACAAGAACTGTTGAGAGTGTGACATTCAACAATATCGTTTGGAAGCAGTTAGTAAACCGGATTGGCTTGCTAGTGCTTGGTACAACTTAGAGGTGGTTATAACCGGGTTGGTTATTGGAGTCGGCTTTAATTCGTGTACCGGTCTGCTCTATATATAAGAGTGGAGAAGGAGTTCATCAAGATTAACACAGAAGAACGATTCATTAGTATCAGAGAGTGAAAGAAAGAAGAGGGCTTTATACTTGTTGTTTGTATAAGTTCTTGAGTCATCTTGTGTACTTTCTCTTGGAGTGATTTAGTGAAACGTTTGCTTGTGCCGTCAAGCACCCAGACGTAGATAGCCTCAAGGGAGGATCGAACTGGGATATCAAATCTGTGTGTGTTGTTCTTTTCTCTTAAGTTTCTTGGCTGCAAACGAGAGCGAGAGAGATTGAGAGGTTAAACACTTTCGAGAGTTAGTTAGAGCTCAAGATTACAGATTTCGAAGTGGTTGGATCTTAACAAAGTGGTATCAGAGCCAGGTTCCTTCAATGAAGGAATCGATGGCGAAGATGAAGATCGCGTGTTTTGACGGTCAAGGGGATTTCTCGATGTGGAAGAAGCGTATGTTAGCTCATCTGTCAATTCTCGGATTGAAGGAAGCTTTGATCGAAGCTCCGGTGACGTCGGAATCAGATGTTCCGATGAAGAAGGACGAAGATGAGGAAGATTACAAAGAACGAGTCAAGAAACTCGAAACTGAAAAGGCGGAGAAGGCTGAGAAAGCGATGAACATGATCATCTTGAATCTAGGCGATCATGTGTTACGGAAGCTAGAGGAAGATACAACGGCGGCGACGATCTGGTCTTCACTAGAAAGGTTGTATAATTCTAAAACTCTACCTAATAGGATTCATCTACAGCATAAGTTCTATACGTTTAAGATGCTAGACTCTAAATCTATAGATGAGAACATATATGATTTCTTGAAATTAGTTTCCGGGTTAAGCAGTGTGAATGTTTCTGTTTCAGAGGAGGTTCAAGCAATTTTGTTGCTAAGTTCGTTACCAACGCCTTACAATCAGCTGAAAGAAACATTGAAATATCGAAGAGACACACTGACTATTGAGGATGTCACTAACGCGGCAAAGTCAAAAGAGATTGAACTCAAAGATGTGAAAGATTCTGCACTTTTACAAAGGTCAGGTGATGCGTATTTCACTCGAGGTAGACCTGAGAAGAGAGACAACTACAGAGGAAAGGGCTCAAGTAAGTCAAGGTCAAGGTCGAGATCAAAGCTAACCTGTTGGTACTGCAAGAAAGAGGGTCATGTCAAGAAGGATTGCTTCGCCAGAAAGAAGAAAATGGAGTCTGAGGATAATGGTGAAGCAGCAGTGATGGTAGACAAGTTACACGAAGTAGATGCTTTGACTATCTCAGAGCAGGATCCGCGTGATAGATGGATAATAGACTCCGGGTGCTCTTATCACATGACCTCCAGACGTGAATGGTTTACAGAGTTCACAGAGAATGCAGGAGGTCAAGTTTTACTAGCTGATGATAGAGCTGTAACGGTACAAGGTGTTGGCACAATCAGAATCAGTGCTACAGGAGGAACCGTTAAATGTCTCACCAATGTCAGGTATGTTCCTAATCTTAAAAGGAACTTAATTTCAGTAAGTACACTTGATTTGCAGGGATTTAAGCAAGAAGGTGGAGCTGGAAAGACATCATTCTACAAGAATGGAAGGCTGGCTCTGCAAGGTACTTTATGTGGGAGTCTGTATCTTCTAGACGGAGACACAGTGAAAGCTACAGCATTTGTGGCAACAACAAAAGATGACACGGCATTATGGCATAGTAGACTTGCACACACAAGTGTCAAGAATCTGAAGCTGCTAGCAGAGAAGGGTGCCTTGGATAAGAAACGTATCAGTGATATGGAGTTCTGCGAGAGCTGCATCATGGGTAAGAATAAAAGGCTCAGCTTCAATGTAGGTAAACATAACAGTGAAGAGGTACTGAGGTATGTGCATTCTGACCTTTGGGGATCTCCTAATGTGCAAATGTCATTAGCTAGGAAACAATACTTTATGTCAATCATAGACGATTACACTAGGAAAGTATGGGTTTATTTTCTAGCTACTAAGGATGAGGCTTTCTCTAAATTCTGTGAATGGAAAGTACTGGTAGAGAATCAGGTGAATAAGAAGGTTAAGTGTCTTAGAACTGATAATGGCTTAGAATTTTGTAATCTTGCATTTGACAATTTTTGTAAGCAGCAAGGTATAGAGAGACATCGGACGTGCACCTACACTCCACAACAGAACGGAGTTGCAGAGCGCATGAATCGAAATGTGATGGAAAAGGTTCGATGTTTACTAAATGAGTCTGGATTGGAAGAGAAATTTTGGGCTGAAGCTGTGGCTACAGCAGTGTACATCATTAACCGTACTCCTTCGTCAGCGAATGACTTCAACATCCCTGAAGAACTGTGGTTGGGAAAGATACCAGGTTACAGACATCTGAGGAGATTTGGTTGCATTGTTTATGTGCATATTGATCAAGGGAAGCTTAAACCAAGAGCTCTAAAAGGAGTATTCATAGGATATCCTACTGGAGTAAAGGGATATAGAGTATGGATTATAGAAGATCGGAAGTGCATTATAAGTCGAAATGCAGTGTTCAGAGAGGATCTAATGTATAAAGATCTTCATGGAGATAAGGATGTGGAGTCTAAGACTGGTGTGACAGGTACGAATAAAGGAAACAGGAGCTCAGTAGAAGTAGCAGAGGCTTCTGGTACGTCTGAGGAGAGTCAAGATGAAGGTGGAGCTACAGAGATAGTTCAGGAAGAAGATCAACAAGATACACAAGAGGTTGAAGACTTGAGTAACTATCAGTTGGCTAGAGATAGAGTTCGCAGGGTTATAGTGAAACCAGCTAGGTTTACAGAGGACTCGGAAGTAGCTTTTGCATTATCAGTTGCAGAGATTATTGACTCTGAAGAACCAAATAGTTATGAAGAAGCAGTAAGAAGCAAGGACTGGAAGAAGTGGAGTGCAGGAATGGATGATGAGATGGAGTCTTTGAAGAAGAATAAGACGTGGTTTCTCACATGTTTACCAAAAGACAAGAAGGCTATTGGATGTAGATGGATCTATAAACGGAAACCTGGTATTCCTGGAGTTGAAGAGCCGAGATATAAAGCAAGGTTGGTAGCCAAAGGCTATTCTCAAAAGGAAGGGATTGACTATCAAGAAATCTTCTCTCCGGTTGTTAAACACGTTTCAATTCGTGTGATGCTGTCTATAGTAGTTGATCAAGACTTAGAGCTGGAGCAGTTCAACGTAAAAACTGCATTTCTGCATGGTACTATAGACGAAGACATATATATGGAACAGCCTGAGGGATACATAGAGGAAGGACAAGAAGGCAGAGTATGTAAGCTGGTAAAGTCGCTCTACGGATTGAAACAAGCACCACGTCAGTGGAATAAATGTTTGATACGTTTATGCTGAAGAATGGTTTTAAGAAGAGCGAGTTTGATCTATGTGTGTATCTGAAGAAGATCAGTGAAGGTGATTATATCTACTTACTTATCTACGTAGATGATATGTTGCTTGTAGCAAAGAGAATTTCAGATATTAAGAAGGTAAAGAAGATGCTCAGTGAGGGTTTTGATATGAAGGATCTTGGTCCAGCAAAAAGGATACTTGGAATGGAGATCATGAGAGACAGAAAGGCAGGTGTACTTACTTTAACTCAATCAAAGTATGTGAAGAAGATTCTACAAGTGTTTAGAATGGGAGAAGCTAAGTCTGTTTCAACACCTATTGGAGCACAGTTTAAATTGGTAACTTTAAAGGATGGAGAACTAGGTTTTGCTGGGTCAGATGATGAAGTTCCATACGCGAATGCAGTTGGCAGTATTATGTATGCCATGATAAGTACAAGGCCTGATCTAGCATTCGGAGTAGGATTGGTGAGTCGCTTTATGAGTAATCCAGGGGAAGAGCATTGGTCTGCAGTGCAATGGATATTGAGGTATTTGGTAAGAACTCAAGATTTTGGTTTGAAGTTTCAGAAGAGTACAGAAAGAGAATTCAGTGTTGAGGGATGGTCAGATTCAGATTTTGGGGGAGATCTTGATCGCAGAAGATCTACGACAGGTTTTGTTTTCAAGGTTGGTACTAACACGGTTAGTTGGAATTCTGGTCTGCAACAAGTGGTGGCGTTATCTTCAACAGAGGCCGAGTATATATCATTGGTGGAAGCTATCAAGGAGGGTTTGTGGCTAAGAGGCTTAACTGAGGAATTGGGATACGTTCAGTCAGGAAGAGGTGTGATTGGGTGTGATTCTCAGAGTGCAATCTGTTTGGCGAAGACCAATGTTTTTCACGATAGAACGAAGCATGTGACAGTGTCTAAACATGTAGCTCTGAAGATGAGTTTTGTGAGAGAGCTGTTGGAAGCTGGAGAAGTAGAGATCAAGAAGGTTCATACTTCTAAGAACCCTGCAGATATGTTGACTAAGGTTATTCCGAGTAACAAGTTTGATCAAGCGCTTGTTGACCTCGGAGTAGCTCAGTGCTAAATGCACAGATGTGTTTGACGGCATGAGGGGATGAACACTATTGTTGATGTCAAGGTGGAGATTGTTGAGTGACATTCAACAATACCGTTTGGAAGCAGTTAGTAAACCCGATTGGCTTGCTAGTGCTTGGTACAACTTAGAGGTGGTTATAACCGGGTTGGTTATTGGAGTCGGCTTTAATTCGTGTACCGGTCTGCTCTATATATAAGAGTGGAGAAGGAGTTCATCAAGATTAACACAGAAGAACGATTCATTAGTATCAGAGAGTGAAAGAAAGAAGAGGGCTTTATACTTGTTGTTTGTATAAGTTCTTGAGTCATCTTGTGTACTTTCTCTTGGAGTGATTTAGTGAAACGTTTGCTTGTGCCGTCAAGCACCCAGACGTAGATAGCCTCAAGGGAGGATCGAACTGGGATATCAAATCTGTGTGTGTTGTTC